CTGTCAAGGCGATGGCTCTAAACAGAGGCGCTTGGCCCAGAGCCTGCAGAGGATGGTGCCAAAGGCCAGGCGCTGTTACTTTTAAAGGCAGCATGTCTCCCCCCCGTTTTGCCCTGTGCGGGCGCTGGATGCGATACCCGCACGGGCCGCTCCACGTGGCCAAGGGGCTGAGCGGCCCAGCCATGTGCCTGCTGCCAGGGCCGGGACACTACCGCAGCAGGGACTGCGTCAGGGCAGAGCAAGTGTCTGTGCCCCCCTCTTTCTTCCCCCCCCACCCGGCACCACCTGGCAGCTGCCACCTGCTCCTGGCCTGGGCGCAGAATGTTAACAAGGCCATAAACAGCTTCTGTCCTTGGCCGGCCGGGATTTGGGGGGCAGGGGAAGGACTGGAGGTTTGGCCAGAGGCTCTTTAACCTCTGCACAGGGGCACCTGGCATGGCGCTCCCTGGGCGCTGGTACCGTGTCACCCAGGGGTCCAGCAGGTGGGGCAGCCAGAGGTCAGAGGAAAGTGGCCTGGGCCTGGCCAGAGCCCTGCAAGGGGGAGATGGGGGGGTGGATGGACATGGGGCACAGCCCAGCTGTCTGGCTGCACCCCTCCCACCCCCAAATAATGGCAAAGCCCACTGGGGCCTGCCCGGCGCAGAAGGGGCCCCCACTCCTGGATCAGCTGGTCTGGCCCAGCCCGTATTTGCCATGCCCTGGCCATGCCCTTCCAGCCCCAGCTCCCTGGCTGCCAGCCCTGCTCCACTTGTCCTATGGGAGCTTCTTGGCCAGGCTGTGCTGTCCGATGATGGCCGGGGGGGGCGGGGGTGGGGCGGGGGGAGAAACGGGACTGTGCGCCCCACTGCGTCCAAGCAGGCTGGGTCAGTCATGCAGCTGCTCAGAGCAGGAGCCCTTCCCCCCAAACGCCTAGCACCCCCCCCCCCCCAATCTGGGTGCACCACCACCTCCTGACCACACACCTGGGTGCAGCCCCTCGCCCCCGCCCACCACACACACATCAGCAGCTGCGGTCCTCTTTCCCCTCCAGTGCCACAATATACACACACACACACGCACACACACCCTGCTTCCTTTCACCTCATTTTTCTTCCACGTGACACCACCAAGTCCTGCCTGGGGGCAGGGGGGGAGATAGTGATGCCCCCCCCCCCGGCAAAAGGCAGCGAACTACTCCTAGCTGTGGCATCCGTCTATCGCCCAGGAGCCTTTGGGTGCCGAGGGGGCCACCAGTCTTCAAGGGGAAGCTGCCTGCCAGGCTGCCCTGGTCCCCAAAACGCTCTGGGGTGGGAGCATGGCCTGGGCCCACTGCCCTGCAGCATCTCCCTGAGCTCAGCGGGTAAATGCCTGTACCCGGGGGAGCCAAAGGGCCTGAGGCTTCCCCCGTCTGCTGTGAGGGGTTGGGGGTGTTCGCCATGTGCCTGGCATGTGCTGTAACCACGCAGCTGGCAGCAAAGGTGCTGCCCTGTGGGTTGGTGGCGTTATGGCAGCAGGAGTCACCAGCTGTGACAGACTTACCTGGTCACCACCTTCGTGCGCGAGAACCGCAGCATCCGTGTGAGGCACAGGACACGCCCCTGCCGGGGAGCCGTGGCCAGCGGGAAGCGTTTGCGCTCTGCCTTGTTCTTCAAGTGAAGACAAGTCGGGGGGTGCCAGGGGCTTCCTGGCAGGGCTGGGCTGGGTCTCCCAACTCAGGCATTTGCCTGCGTGGCGTACGTGACTTCCTCTGAGCTAGGAGGGGGCCATGTGGTGTGAATGACCAGGCCCCACTAGGAAAAGAGTCAGGGTCAGCCTCACGGCTTCTTTCTCAGCTGGGCGACTCGCCTCTGCCAACCCCCAGCAGCAGATGCCAGGGGAAGCGCGGGGGCCCCGGTTCTGGCCTGTCCCCCGGTACCCCCCAGGCCAGGACGGCTAACACGGCGAATGGAAGGAGAGAGTCATGCCGCCTTTCCTCCTTTTATTAGCCAGACAGCCTCATACCCCGAGCGCCCCAGTAACAGCAGCAGGCCGAGGAACACGGGGACGCGGACGGTGAATTCCTTGCCCCAGAATATCAGTCCAGGGGATTGACGATGCTAATGAGCTCCTAGGGTCACCCATGTCCTGACGTCTGCGGGGAGCCGCTCGTCCCCCTCATGCACTAATCCTTCTCCTGCAGCACCAGCCGGCTGAGTATCGCCTTGTGCTTCCCCCATGCCGGCAACTGCAACTTCCCGGCTCTGCCCTCATCTCCACTTAATCCCTTGTCCTGCCCAGGCTAGGGACAGGACCCAGCTCTCTTGACTCCCAGTCACTTGCATTAACCACTAGCCCACACTCCCCTCCTGGAGCTGGGAATAGAACCCAGGAGTCCTGGCTCCCAGCTCCCTCCATTTCTCTACCCGCTAGCCAACACTCCTCTGCCGCAGCTGGGGATAGAACCCAGGAGTCCTGGCTCCCAGCCCCTGACTTCTCTACCCACTAGCCCACACTCCCCTCCTGGAGCTGGGAATAGAACCCAGGAGTCCTGGCTCCCAGCCCCCTCTACTCCTTTACCTGCTAGCCAACACTCCTCTGCCAGATCTGGGGATAGAACCCAGGAGTCCTGGCTCCCTGACTGCTCTAACCACTAGCCCACACTCCCCTCCCCCCTGCTGTGCTGTTAGACCCAAAGACCATCAGCTGCTGTGACAGCCTTGCTGACAGCTGATTGACAGCTCAGCCGGGAAGACCGTTCTTAAAGAGACAGCGTTCCGATTGCAGCACCATCAGCATGCACGGTGCTGTACGAACCCATGGTCCCTGCCCCACAGAGCTCACAGTCTAACTCGAAAAGCCACATGCAGCCACGGCGTAACCTCGCTGAGCTTACGACCGGGATGGCTTTGGCCCTGGGATGGGCCTCTACAGTAACCCCGCGTTGCCCGGCTCACCGTGGGTATTTCTCATGCAGGGGGAGCCGTGAGCTGGGAACGCAGAGCCCTTCGGGCAGGTCCGTGCCCCGGCCCCTCAGCCCCGCTGCGCCTCCTGGGACAGGGAGCGGGACAGGGAGCGATGGAAGTCACCCTTGCCGAAGTCGGGCCGGCTGGGCTGGACGACGAGGGGCAGCTCCTTGGTGATCTCCGCCACGGCCTTCTTGTCCCGGCACTGCCCGTTGGGTGGGGAGCCCCCGGCCAGCGCCATCTCGAAGTCCATCATGTGGCGCAGCTGGGGCGGGGTGGCTCCCCGCTCGGCCTTGGCGCTCAGGTCGGCCGGCACGAAGAGG